AATGGGCATCATTCCTCCGTCTGTCTGTCCATCCATTCATCCATTGCTCAAAAATCTCCATCAGTCGGGCGGCGTTGTCAATCACCACCAAGTCTCAAAGGCACAGAGAGGGGAAGCCCCCTGCCCAAGGCCACACCGCTAGCACACCGCAGAGGCAACGCTAAACCGCTCGCAGCCCTCTAACGCAGAGTAGAACTGACTCCAGAGGGTTTCCAAGTGTTGGCAATGAATATTGAAAGTACCGTGGACAGCCAAGAAGCAACACATTTGTCTTGGAAGAAGCACAGCCAGCATGTGCCAGACAGACAAGGATGACAAGACCTGGTCCCCGGTATTTTGAACACGTCCAAAGAGACCCGTCCCCGTCCCCGGAGAAAGACAGCCGCTTGGTCAAGTAGCAGGGCAGCAAAAGAGAGGGAGACCCTCAACAAATTGGATTGACACGGTGACTGCAAGCCAAGGGTTCCCACATAAAAACGCTCGTGAAGAGGGCACAGGACAGGGGGGGTGGCGGTTCCTTCTGTTATACATCTGGTTGCTATGAGCCGGAACTGATTCCATGACCCTGAACAACAACAGATACAGGCTGCCTCCTTTTTCTACCACAGAGCAACAGGTAGGGTTCCAATTGGCAACCGCTGAGCCACCCGGGTGCCTAGGATGTGGCTGAACCAGGACTCAGAGCCAGGGCTCTAGACCTATAGCTCACTGAACCCACTTCCCCAGCAAGATGGGGCCTGTCACTGAAAACTCGGTTTCATGAATAATTGTGGCAACAGGAATCCCAGTCACCCCAGTCGCTATAAGGAGCATTTTCCATGCTCCAGGCCTGCCAAAGTCTGTGAAGGAAAACACAGGATTTGCACTTGACTTTCCATTTAAGGAGCCCTGGTGGCATACGCACTGGGCTGCGATCCACATGCTTGGCAGTTCAAAACCACCAGCCGCTCCTTGGGAGAAAGATGGGGCTTTCTACTCTCATACACAGTGACAGTCTCAGAAACTCAAAGGGGGCAGTTCTACCCTGTGCTACAGTGTCACTATGAGTTGCCATGGCAATGAGCTTGGTGGCAGAGTGATTGCTCACTGGGCTGCTAACCACAAGGTCAGCAGTTCAAAACCACCAGCCCCTTTGCAGGAAAAAGGTGAGTTTTTTTACTCCCATAAAGAGTTACTGTCTTAGAAACCCATAGGGCCAATTCTATCCTGTTCTATAAGGTCGCTATGGGTCGGAATCAACTCGATGGCCGTGAGTCTTAGGGTTTTCTGTTTGAAGCAAGGCATGGCAAAACCAAAACCCTATCGATCGACCCTCTAGGACAGGGTAGAACTGCCCCCTGTGAGTTTCTGAGGCTGCAGCTCTTTCCGGGAGTAAAAAGCCTCATCTTTCTCCCACAGAGTGGCTGGTGGTTTTGAACTTCCAACTTTGTGGTGAGAAGCCCAACGTGTAACCCTCTTTCACAAGGCCCAGGAACTGAGGCAGATGGGAACCTCAGGTCTGATCAGCTCCAATCTTTCTTCTGAGATAGGGAAACTGAGGTCCAGAGAACAAGAAAGGCCCAAGCACCCATGACTCCCTGCGGACCTTGAACTCAGGACCTTTCTCACAGAGAGTGGGGTAGGGGGAGGGTGGGCAATGGGGGATAAGGATAAGGGGAGAAGAGGTAGTGGGGTGGGGGGTTACTGAAATAGCTCTAACGGGACACCTGCATGAGGAAGAGTGGTTAGACTCCAAGCAGGACTTTCGGGTCTTCTCTGGGAAGTTTCCCCGGAAGTCATCCAGGGACTGCCCCAGCCAGCAGGGGAGCAGGGAGGCCCAGAGAGGGGAGAGACCCCAGCCTTCCCTGAGCGGGGTGCATGGAATAAAGGGGGAAAAGAGGGGGTGGCCATCCCGGTTCTGCATCCCCCATTCCCGACACTGGAGGGAGGCGGCTGTGGGAGCTGGGACTTTCCTGAGCAGCAGGAGATTCTGGGAAATTAGAGACAGCTGCAGGGCGGGGCTGACTCCCAGGCTCCCTTCCCTGTCCCCCACCCCCTGGTCCCCGGCTGGTCCCCAGGCCCACCTACCTCTCCTCCCTGCAGAAGGCCTATCTCAAACTGCTCCTCCTCCTTCAGACCCTTAACCCCTAACTCACCCTACCCCCTCCCACCCCCACCCCACCCCACACACACTCACTCCTCCTTCAGAGCTGTTTCTCTGACTTTTCCTCCCTCCTGAGACCACCCCCCCTCAGACACCCACCTCTTTCTCCACTCAGACCATCTCCCTCCCCTGGAGAACCTGGTCCCTTCCTTTAGAGCACCCCTTCCCCTTCCAGTCCCTCAACACCCCCCCCTCCACCCCCCAGCCTTTCTCTTCCTCCCTCAGGCCTTCACCTCCCCCTTCAGACTCTTACTGCCACCCTCGGGCCCTCATCTCTTCCTCCCTGTCCCCAGGGCCTGTCCACCTCCCTCCCACCCTGTCCTCCTCCCTGAAGATTCTCCCCTCCAACCCTCTGTTCCCCTCTCAGGTTCATCACCTCCTCCCTCAGACCCTCTCCCTGTCTCTCCAAGACTTGTCCTCCTTCCTCAGATCCATCCAGTCCTCACCCCCTCCTTCATCCTCAGACGGGAGTCTCTCCCTGCCCCTGAACAACACCCTCTCTGGGTCAAGAGCTGAGACTCACTGCCCACCTCAGCCTCCCTGGCCCCAGACCTCTGGGCCACCTCCATACAGTATCAGGGAACCTGGGTGGTCTTCCAACCCTGCCTCTTGGTGTCCACTCCTTTCACAAGCCCTGCCCAGGAGGCCACACAGGTCTCAGTGTTCCTCTCTGTGCAATGGAGCAATGCTCCGCACTACACCCTCCTGTGTCTGAAGAGGTGGGCCGCGTTCTCTTGTTGTAGCCCCCACAATACCTGGGGGCAGGGGTGAACAATCAGCTCATTTTTCCAGAAGAGATGGGTCTCATGAGAGGAGGGGGCCATCTGAGGTCTCACTTCAGACAGAGAGAACTGGCAACAGAAGCACAGCAGCAGGCCAGGACAGGTATGGGGAGACGGGGACATTGTGCTTATGGGGAGCAGGGCAGATCTGACTCTGTCTCTTCCCATCTTTCTCCTGGGAGACAATTCCAAAAGGCACAAGAATCTCTTCCGTCTCACCGTTTCTCTTTGCAAGAGATGGAGGTGGGATTTGAACCCGGATCTGTGGGCCGGAATATTTCAGTTACAGAGAGAGACCGGGCAAAGAGCAAGACCCTCTCTCTGCACACAGCTGGATCTCACGACCGGATTAACGATCCACTAGGGTGAGGCCCATCCAGGCCAAAGTCCTTTTGTTGCCCAGACAGGGCCCTACACCCACTACCAGGTCCTAGAGAGATGCTTCCGGGGAGATCGCAACAAGATCGGGCAGAGATGTCAATAAGAGGGGTCTTGGGGTCCCTGGAGACTGAGAGGCACAGGCTGGGTCTAAGGCAGAGAAAGGGGGTCCAGGGAGCCCAGGGATTAAAGGGCAGAGGCCAGAGAAGGAGAACCCCCGCATTCCTCCTAGGCAGATCTGGGGTGCAGTTTCCATGCCCTTGCCGTGCCCTCTTCCCTCTCCCCCGAGCTGCAAACCTGTCCCCCTCCACCTGCCCTGCCAGGCCTCAGTGACCTGGACTCAACCCCAGCGTGGGCCCCGCCCCTAGGGAAATCCGGGAAAGCCCCGGCATCGCCGAGCCCCTCCCCTGGGCGGGAAAAAGGGAGGGGACCTTTCAGGGGGCAGGAAAGGGATCGCCTCTGTCCCCTCCCTCCCCGCCAGCTCCAGCCAGTCTGAGTCATGCCCCGAACTCGCCCGGCCAGTTCCCCGGGCACCAGCCCCTCCCCGGTGGGAGGGGAAAGTGGAGGAGCAGCGGGGGAAGCAGACCGCCCCCTCTGGCCTGCTCGCCTGGAGTCTCTCGCGGTCTCCAGGGCTCTCTGTAGGCACCCAGGATTCCCCGGACACCCACCCTCTGCCCCGCGGGGCGGGCTGGGTGCAGGGCCCAGGAGAGAAGTGCACAGTGAGCGTCCCCCGGTGCCCCCCCCCGCCCCCACCCTGCACAGTTGGTGAGGCTCGTGGGGGCAGGGGCGGCCGAGGGAGGGTTCCTGGGTGCCTCTGCACGCCCACAGAGGAGGAAGCGGCGGGCAGAGGGGACGTGCCGGGTCAAGGTCACCCGCGGAGGAAGTGGGAATCAGGATTCGAACCCGCGTGCTCGCCACTCGGTGGCTTCCTGGGATCGCTTCCCAGGGAGAAAGACAGAGAGAGGGTGAGCGGCACCCACAGAGAGACCCGAGAGACAGCGAGAAACCCCGAGAGACCGGGGCTGAGACCGTTGTCAGCCACCTAGGCAGAAACCGAGACGTGGAGAGAGACATCTAGCCAGAGACAAACCGGGTGCCAGACGCCC